GTTCTGTTAAAGGTAGTGTGCCAGCTTTCTTGGACCGTATGGAGTTAATGGCCCAGATAAGGAGAACCGGATTTTTAGAACTTATCCATACCTTCAAAACTCATGGAAACGTCTTAAGTTCTTCCAATTTTGAGTACCCCAGTGTGAAATTCGCCCCGACGGGTTGTCGGTCGTACCCCAACCACATTTCACACCACTATGAACAATAAATGCACACACTGAAATCGCTATTACCGATATGCTCATCCAATCAAGTTTCGATAAACCCGTTCATCATCATCTCCTGCGGTTTCGAACACGCCTGTTAGGTGGCTTCTGATGCTCGTCGAGGTCGGAATTTCCAAATACGCGTGGTGCGTCGGGCCGCGCGCTCTGACTTCGGCCAAGAAAAATGCGTCAGCTGATCATTGTCATTTCTGCCACTTGCGTGTGGTGAAATGGGGTCATAACTTATAAGACGGCTTTTTCATATCAATTATTTTACATAAAATCATATTTCAAACCATAAATAATGTTCGACAGCCAAATAAAAGAAACAATACCAATACGGGCTTACAGTTAAAGGCTCGACATTGTGTTGTCTACGATTAGACAGCTGATAACTCATTCCCGTACGTCGTATGGTCGTAACACTATAATGACCTTTGCTTATTGTCACAAGTGCGCCGCATTCGCGATTGTTGCCCGACGCCTGTTTGCAGGTGAGCCCACTACAGTTGTTATACATATCTAAAAACCGATAAACTTTTAGGCGAAAAAGGCACTATTCCAGGCCCATTTTTGATTTTTTTTTTGCGATATTAGGTAAAAACAGAAGCTTCTTATCCTAGGAAAAATAAAATGGGAAATCTTTCAAAGGTGGCACACTACCTTTAAAGCTGACGGAGTTGGGCCTTTGAGGCGAGTAGCCTTCCGTTAAATCTGACGTTAGATTTGTTGAGGCGAGCATTTTCTGGTGGTTGTGCCAATGCCCTGCGAATGCTGTGCTTTATGGTCCGGCTGATGCAGTCCATATTAGTTCGTGGGAACAAAGGTATTCGCTATGTAGACTGAAGTCCTTGGCGGCTTGCTTCAAAACTACTTACGTCACTGGACGTTATTGCTTTTGCACGGTAGCCGTCACATACACTCCTGTCTTTGTTTGCAATCTGTTCTTCTCTAATACTTGTCTGTTGGGAAGATGAGTTGCCTAATGTCGTGTGTGGCCGACTGCGAAATTGCATTCTCTACATTTTCTGGTGGCTTACCCTTGCCGCCGTTCGTGGTACTTACCCCATTGTTAGCTGAGAGTTTGTTTTTTGGCAAAAGTCTGTAGCATGGCTTCGTTGGTAAGATCCATTGTATGACGTGAGTACTCCCGATATGGGTTTGGTTGATTGCGATTGCCTGCACCAATTATCTAGCAGAATCACCCCGGCCCCGGTTACCTGTAGCAAAGGTACAGCTATTATCCCATTGTTTTCACTCACGATTAGCCTTCAGTTGTTATTTACATTTCCTATACATGTTAGGTGCATTTGAACCTCGATTGCCTCTGCGGAAAAAAGGCTGGATCATGACACATATTTTACATCCAGCTACAGGAAGCTCAAGGTTCATGGCTGGTACACTCGCTAATAGGTTGTGAACTGGTGGGGGCTCGCTAAAATGAAGATTGCGCGACATTCCATTACAATGAATGTCGTTGGATGGTATTTACAGCAGCTCATCGCCGCCGTATGGAGTTATTGCTGGACCGTGTCCTGTGGCGCGATATGTCCTGCACGATATGTCCTCCCACTCGCTGTCATCACGTGATAAATACGATCAGCTACAGTGCGCCACACAACGCCCACATGAGGACAGTGCGAGTAGGCTGTTACCCTGCAAGTCGTCAAAATGGCTATACAATTCACATGTTTTTAATCATTTCACAATTCACATCACATCCACATTGACGTGCCCGGTTAGGCCCATTTCATATTCACCTGTCCATGTAGGTACTCCATCGTCGCCCTAGTTTCAGACTTTGACGTCCTTCCCGCTTTTGTTAAACGGCATAGCAGTGCCGAACGGCGCCTCTCCCAGCCCAGTTCCTTCTCGCTCCGGTATATAGTGCCTTGCTCGCTCCCCTGATATATCCTTCCCAGGCTCCAGCCGGCTTCCATCGTCTCACACAGCCTCCCAGGCTGGGTCTATTCAGTGTTTACCATCCGCTGTCCCCACCCGTCAGTTCCAGTCTTAGTCAACGCCTCTACCGGCACCCTCCCCTGACTCCGACTCAGCTGCCGACTCGGGAGTCAACACTCCCAACTGAGCGCCCTGATTCAGACCGGCATACGGGCTCGACTCCCACGCCGGCGCGTCGGTGGTGACCACAGCAGACAGGGCCGGCCGTCTGCTTTCCAATTCCCATGTGCCCGTGATGGATCCATATCCGGCCTCCCGGGTGGGTGGGTGGCCGTCTATGGTGGTTTCCGCAGCTGGGGCATTTCACCAGCGCCGCCGCGGCCCCGGCGGACGTGGACCGGTGTGGCCTAAACATCTGAGGCAGCAGGCGAAGGATGTGGGTGGTGGGAGATTGTCAAATACTGTGGTGAAATTGTAAGGGTGGGTGTCATCTGAGAAAACCACCTCATGGGTAGGTGTGAACCGAAGGTGGTGTTTCTGTGCCTTAACTGACAAGTGGAGCCTGTTACCGCCGGAGCTGATTATTCAGAGTAGCTTCCATATGATTGGAACTAAGCCCAATTCAAAAATTATAATTTTCGTTTGGGTCGTAGACTTGCATATCATGTCCCAGCATCACAGCATCTTCTTGCTAGCGTCAGGCAGTTTATTCCTGCAGCCAGATCCTTCCCTGAGAAAATCGTCTTGATATGACTAAGCAGTTCCCACGAATTACAGGCGCAATTAATCGTTGCTGTTTTGCCTCCGCATAACTGCAGCGGCGGAGGCTCTGTTCTTTAGCAGATGCCGCCGCCTCATTAACCGTCAACAAAAGCAGCAACAGCAGGCTGGCAGCTGCAGCAGTGCAGACGTTAACCGGTGCAAGGCCAGGGCTCTGGCGGTTTATGGTCCGGGACGGCGCCTTGTGGTGTGTTCTCGGGATAGTCATGGGACGCTAGCTGAGCCAAAAGACAAGACAAGGACGGCTGAGAACAAACCCAGTTGATCACACTTGCTTACCTGAAGCTTACATACCCTGGCGTAGCATTCGTAACAACATGACTGGAAGGCAAGAATTTGTGATTGGTCAGGTTCCAACTGCTATTGGTTTGAGCTATTCGCTGATGTCAGCGTTGCAGCCACTGTGGTGGCGTAGTTATGGTTTCGAGGCAGTTATTCGAGCCGGTCTACCGTGTTGGTATGCGCCGAGAGGGCCGATACGAGTATACCGCGTCATTAGCCTCATGGGAACGACCGCTTCTTGTGACCCCTGGGCCCTGACCGCTGTGTTGAGCTGGATGGCGGTGCCGCTCTTCCGTCCCTAGATAAGTAGTGTGGAGCTCATGGACACAGACGGTGGATACTGGATACTGGGGCTGGACACGTGTGAACTGAACATGTGGATCCAAACATTGGATCAAGGTGATTTCCGAGAGATATATCCGGCACTGGATCCAGATAACGAGCCATAAGTGCATGACGGATCGAGCAATGTGTCTAGCGATATGCCAAGTCGCTTGATTTGAATTTTGAACCTGCAGCGTTAAACCCAACGCTGGACCCATGTGCTGTGAACGTAGCACGTCCAGTGCCGTGCCTGTGGTTCCGTGCCCGGATGTCGCCCGTTTGCACAGGCGTCGCCACTCCGCCTCCCCTCGCTGCTTCGTCCACTGAAATTCAGCACACACAGGCTGGAAACGAAACACAGCTGCTTCCCCATCAGGACTCTCATTCCTGTTAATTATTCCTGCTTTCCCCATTTCTAGTCATACACGAGGTAATGCCAACTCGAGTTGCTTCAGACCATTCATCTCTGCCCTTGCTGGCTCGCTCGTCCAAGCGCAGCATCTCATAACCACACACCAGCTGCTTGCTAACCGCTCCTTCCCACTCACCCTTCCCACATCTGACTCACCGTCCAACTCGACCGGAGGATTCCGGTGGCAGACAGGTTTTGACAGCAGTGTGATGTAATGCGGCGGTAGGTGCGCCGCCGGTGGGCGGTAGAGGGGGCGGTAGAGGGGGCGGTGGAGGGCGGCAAGGCACCCTGCAATGTGTGGATGAACTGGCTAGCGAGTATACATAGTTTTGCCGGGATGGCGATAAGTCACCCTCAGGACCCGTTTGTCTGCCCACGGTACCCCCCGATGTCAGTCTGGCTAGAAGCGGCAGCTTCCCACTCTGCTAGCTGGAAAATTAGTGACTTTGGTATAAGTGTTTTCACTAATTTTGACCGGTTCTTCGTCCGATTACCGGAAGGATCTGATCTCCCCAGCCTGCGATGTGGAAGACGTAGGTGCCCCTGGTCAGTGTCTGCCGAACTGGATGGCTTGTGGTTCTGGTCTGCGGTTTAGAGCATGCAGTCTGTACCGGTGGTGGTAGATGCGGTCGGAAGTCAGTGGTCTGGGCCTGTCTGTGGTTTCTGCGGCTCTGCCTGTTTGTCTGGCTGTGTGTAGCGGGCAGGAAATGATGTCAGGCGACCGCTGATCAGTGACGTCGGCTGATGTATGTGGGAGGAGAGTATCAGGAGGTGATGTCACGTGCGGTGACAGCCGTCAGCACCCGCAGTCGGATGACGGTCTTCATCGGACACTGATGTGATCGTGGTTCATGAGCGATAGCTTTTGCCGCGCACACCAAGATGCTAGCGGTCCATAGCGCTTTGAGTCATCAGGGACTCAATGAACTGAACAAACAATGGCGTGCATGTGTTGGAAAAACGAGAGACCTTGTACATAAACGTTCCTACTTGTTATTTCACCTACCAAGGTTATCAGCACCGTCGTCACTATTGAAAAGGCGACAAAAAAAAAAAACACCGCGGTTAACGGCTGTCCTTTTCTGTGTTTCAGAACATGTATTCGGAGACGGTCTCGGAGACGAAGCGGCACTTCCCGCGGGAGGCGTCTCCACCGCGCGAGTACCGGTCACCGGTCGGCAACAACCTGCAGGAGCTGGACACGCTGCTGTACGACCTCAACGAGGCGCGCTACAACGGCAGCTACATCCAGCAGCGGCCCGCAGGTGAGGGTGCAGGTACATCCTGCAGTGGTACAGCTACATCCAGCAGCGGCCCGCAGGTGAGGGTACGAGTACATCCAGCAGGGGCCTACAGATCAGGGTACAGCTCCATCCAGCAGTGGTACACTTGCATCCAGCGGTGGCCTGCAGCCTGCAGGTGAGGGTGCAGATATATCAAGCATGGGTACTGCTGCATCCAGTGGTGGCCTGCAGATAAGGGTGTAGCTAGATCCAGAAAAAGGTTTATTCTACATCCATTAGCAGCCGGTAGGTGAAGGAACAACTCCATTCATCAATTACACCGCTACATTTAGGACCACTTCATAAGAAAATCCATAATAATTTTACCAAAACACTTATCAAACGCACGCCGAGTCCGAGGCCCATCCCAAAAGGGACACGAGCTGGCCAGACACCGCCGTAGTGTAGGTCGTATTACAGGCGTCACTGCCACACTGGTCTCGTCCCACACCGTCCCAGTCCCGTCCCAGACCGTCTGAGTCCCGTCCCAGACTGTCCCAGCCCCGTCCAGTCCCGTTCCAGAACGTCCGAGCCCAGCCTCGCCACAGGGAGCAGCGAAGGAGGGTGTGGGAGTGATGACTGCTGTTTATCTCTTACCGGCTCCCGCGTGTTGCTGCGCGAATACACACACATCTGGTCGACACCGGCGGGCGTCTCTGGGCCTGCACCGGCCCTCCTCCTCCGCAGCCCCTCACTCCCCCTGTCTCAACACGCCCGAGGAGCCAATAAAGCGTCCCCTCCCCTGCAGCGGGGCTGCACGAGGTAGACGAACGCGAGACCCTGGACGCCTCTTGGTGGAGCACGGGCAGTGTGGGGATGTTTCGCGAGCGGATGCTGATGCGCGAGGATGATGGCCAAGTCAGGAATAGAATGATGCTTCAAAGTTAATAGTACGGAGTGAGATCATAGCAGCTTACTAATGGTAGCTTGATTGGATGGGTAATCTTCAATACATTTCTCTCCTCTCTAGCCTTTTTGAGAGGAGGGATGATTGACTTTCTGTCACCTTGCGGCACATCGCGTGAATGTGCCGTGGTGTCAGAAAGTTATTTATAACATGTCTTTCCTCTTAGTAGAGGAAGACTGTTTTCTGTATTCTTATACTTGATTTTCTAGTCCTGTTTTAGATAAAAAGTCTAAGAGGTAATTTAGTAACTGGGGATAATTGTCCCCAAGGACATTTGGCAGGTTAAAGGAGATATTATTTCTATTACAGTAATCTATTAATGGTTGTCTTTCTCGGTTGTAATCTTGACAATTTAAGATCATGTGTTTTACTGTTATTTGGATATTGCAAGTTGGGCATTGCGGTGGATTTTCATCTAGAAAGGTAAAGGAGTGTGTTAATTTTGTGTGGCCAAAACGTAGTCTTGCGATTAGTTTTTCCTCTTTTCTAGAGCTTAGATTGATTGATGACCAAGGGTCAATTTTAGGGTGAATAGTTCTGAAGAATGTTTGTGCATTGTCCCATTTTTGTTGTCTTTTGATTTTACTCTTTTCTTTTAGTTTTGAGTAAAATTCTGTTGTTGATGATGGGATTTTTGCAGGGTGTGGGAGATCTAGGGCCTCTTTTGCAAGTTGGTCGGCTTTTTCGTTAAGGGGTATACCGCAGTGGGAGGGGATCCATAGAAATTTTGGTAGTTGAGAAAGCGAATTTTGGATTTGGACAATTCTCCATATTAGTGGGTGAGTTGTAACATATTTTGGGTGTATTGATTGGAGGGCTGATAGGGAATCCGAAATGATTATGACATTTTTTTAAGTTTTCATGCTTAATAATGGTGAAGACTGCCAGGATAGCGTATAGCTCCGCGGAGAATATTGACGTTGATCCTGGCAGTCTCTCTTTTAACGCCGTTGTTACCGTGCCTCTGGCTTGCCTCACAGCTGCTGCGCCTGTTTTGTTTGTGGTTGTGTTTTTTGAGCCGTCTGTATAAAAGAGGTTGTGGTTGGGGTAGAGCGCCAGGAAGGAGTTATGAAGTGCTTGGATTTCGTGAGGAGAGTAGTCGGTCTTTTTTTATTCCAGTAGAAGGTGGAGTGTTGATTGAGGATAGGTCCACCACGCCACCGGCTTGAGTATTTTTGGTTGAGGCAGTGTTAAGTCGTATTTTCGCATAAGTGTTTTGAGTCGGGATCCGTATGAAATGCGTTTTTGTTCTTTATGCTTGGAGAGGAAGGATCTGAATTTAATGATAGGAGTGCAGGGGTGGTTTGGGATAGATTGAATTTTGGAAAAGTATTTAGTGAAAGCTATCGACCTTCTTTCTGCTAAAGGTTCAATGTTATTGTAAATTTCCAGGGCCTCGATTGGGGTGGTTTTAAATGCTGCTGTTGATATTCTAATACAGGTGTTTTGAATTGTGTCTAATCTTTTTAAATGTGTTTTTGCTGTGTTTTCGAATATAATTGAGCCGTATTCTAGCATGGGCCTAATGAGTGATGAATATAATTTTACAAGAGTTTTCCGGTCACCTCCAAAGTCGGTTCCTGCGAGGGCTTTTAATATGTTAATTCGTCGTGAGGCTTTGGCTGCAATAATTTTAATGTGTGGGAGAAAGGTAAAGCCACGATCTAGTGTGATGCCTAGTAATTTTGCGGTGTCTGTTATTTTAATTATTGAACTGTTAACGGTTAGGGGTAGAGGGTTGAGAGGTTTTCTTCGGCTGAAAATGACGCTTTGGGATTTTTCACTGGATATGTGTAGGTTTAATGGTTTAAGGGCATTGGTGATGTGGTCTAGGGCTTGTTGGGTGTATTTTAGTGCGGTATTGGGGGATTGATTGGATGACCAAATGGTAATGTCGTCGGCAAAAAGTGACATTTTAGCAGGGCTTGGGACCTGGCTTAGTTTTGAATTGAGGGCTAGGATAAAGAGGATCGGGCTTAGGATTGATCCTTGCATAAGTCCGGATGTGGGGGTTTTGACGGAAGAGAGGGTTTCGAGATATTTAACTTGGAAGGTTCTTTGAGTGAGGTATGTCGTTAAGTAGTGAAGGAGGTGACCGCTGAAGTTGGAGTTAAGGAAATCTAGAAGAGCTTCTATGTTTAGTGTGTCGTAGGCGTTTTTTAAATCTAAAAAGGCTGCCGCAGTATACTGTTGGGAGTCAAATGAGTATTTAATGTCGGAAGTGATTTGGATAAGGTTGTCTAAAGTGCTTCGTCCTGGGAGAAATCCGCTTTGGTATTTACTGATTAGATTGTGCTTTTGTAGGTGATAAATCAGTCTGTTTTTAATGATTCGTTCAAAAAGTTTGTGGATTGTGTTTGTTAGAGAGATAGGTCGATAGCTTTCAAGGAGGTTTGGATTTTTGTTGGGTTTTAGGATAGGGATAATGTGGGCGTGGAACCAGCTTTTTGGGTAGGCATGAAAAGTAAAGGAGTGGTTTAATGCTTTTAAGAGAGCTAGTCTAGTTTTTGGGCCTAGTTGCTGGTAGAAAGGGTAAGGGATCTGGTCTGGACCCGGGGAGCTGTTTCCTGTTGATTTGATAGAGTCTTCTAATTCTGACATGGTAAAGGGGACATTATAAATTTGGGAATCTTGTGTACTGATTGGGATAGGACGAGGAACAGGAGCGGGTATTTGTGAGGATACCTGTAGATAATGTTCCGCGAATTGGTTTGCTATTTCGTTTGGGGAAGTGTACTTGTTGTTGTTGTGGACTATTTCTATCGCTTTTTTGGTAGTTGTTTTATTACCTTTAAAGGCCTTGATAGTTTGCCATATTTTTGATAGAGGGGTGAATCTGTTAAAATTGTTTGCAAATTCTTCGAAGCTTTTGCGCTTTGCTTCTTTGATAATTCTTTTGCACCTAGCCTTGGCTCTTTTGTAAATAATAAAGTCTTCTTCTGATCGTGTTTTTTCAAATCGGTGTCTCGCAGTGTTTCTAAAGGTAATAGCCCGAGTGCAATCATAATTCCACCAGGGTACTGATTTAGGGCGTCGGTGTTGTGTATTAGTGTAGGGGATATGTTGTTCTGCTGTCTTGGTGATGTGCTGTGTGAACTGTTCTACTGTGTGTTCTGTGAAGCTTTGGTGTTCCAGTGTATTTCTGTAGGCTTCCCAGTTAGCTCTTTTTAGGTTAAATCTTTTAGCTGAAGGGAGAGAGGGTGATGTTTGTCCCAAGGATATTAGGATGGGTCGGTGGTCGGAAAAATAGGGGTCTGGATTTGTTTCCCAAGAAGAGGATAGTGCCAAGGATGGTGACACTGCTGAAATGTCCGGAGTGCTGTCTGTGTTTTGGTGCCGTGCTGCAGGGAATGTTGGGGATCCATCATTGAGGACAACCAAGCTAAGCTTATCCATGAGTTCATTAAATATGTGGCCTTTGGTGTTTGGTGTCTCTTGGTTATGGTCCCAAAGTGGGTGGTGCGCATTTACGTCACCGATTAGTAAGATGGGGGTGGAAATACTGCTGATTGTTGATTCTAAATCGTTTAAGAATTTTGGAAAATCTATTGATGGTGAAGCGTAAAAATTTACAATTGTGATGAAACTCTGTGTTGTTTTGATCTCGATAGCTTGGATGTCTAAAGTACTATTTGTGTCTATTTCTCGATAAGGCAAGTTGTTTTTGATGTATGTTCCTACGCCACCTCTTCTAATTCCTGAGACTAGTGTTGAATCTTTTCTGATGAAAGTGAAGGATGTCAAATTTAGATTGTATGGGTCCCCGGGTTTTAGATGAGTTTCCTGAATGCACATAACAGATGTTTCTGATGCCAGAAGGGCCTGTTTGGCTTCCGCCCAATTGCCCAGGATTCCCCTAACATTCCACTGCAGCACTTTTACATTATGGATGGCGTGGTGGGTCATCGTGGGTGTGTCTGTGTGTGTGTGTTCTACTGACGCTGGTTACGGAGGGTGTACGGGTGGGAGTCCGACGGGGCGGACTGGAGGCGGCGCCTGGCCTGGCCCCGTGCCGGTGGCGTGGATGGACTGCTGGAGGAGTCGGTCTGCTGGCTCTGGTCGGAATGATCAGAGGATGAAGGAGTTGGGTTGCGGTGGTTAGGATCCTCGGCGGAGGACTGGGCGCGAGCACCCGTTCCGGAGGAGGATGGGGTTGGGTTGCGGAGCTCGGGGGCTCCGGCGGCGGGCTGGCGGGGGGGTACCCGCTCGACCGAGCTCCGAGGAGGAGCCGTCTCTCGCAGCCGCAAGGTCCTTGGGCCTCGGGGGGACCTTCGGCGTCACACGCGCCGGGGTATCCGGTCTGGGAGGAGGAGGAGGAGGCTTGGCGTTGGGGGCAGGGGAGATAGGGTGGTAAGTGGGGGTGGAGGACCGGCTGGCGGGAGGAGGGAGGTTAGGGTACTCTCGGTCGGAAAGTGGCGGCGGAGGGCGGGTCGGAGGAGGGGGAGGGACTTGGTTAGGGTTGGAGTCAGGATGGGCGACAACGTACTCCCGAGCGTCGCGAACCTCCCAGCCCTGGCGGACCAGCAGGGAGACGCGGCACTCAGCTACCCAACGCGGGCAGCTGGGGTCGTCGGCGGAGTGGGGGCCACGGCACCCGGCACAGGAGAGGGAGTCGGAGGTGCAGGATTGGGATTCGTGTCCCGGCTTGGAGCAGCTCGAGCACACAGGATTTGGGGATCGGCAGTGCTGCTGGCGATGCCCGTACTTCTGGCACCGCCGGCAGCGCATGGGCTTGGGAAGGACAGGACGAACATGGAAGGAAAGGTAGGCGGCTCGGACGGTGGACGGAGGCATGGAGGACTCAAAGGTCAGGATCAGGACTTTAGGAGAGCGAGGGGGTCGGTAAACCGCGCGGACACCCACGCGGCTGAAACCTTCCTCCAGCTCGGTGATGGAGAGGTGTTGGAGGCCAGGAGCGAAAATGGATCCCTGGGATCGATTTAGGTGAGGAGGGGCCCAAGCCCGAACCTCAACCCCAGCGATCCGGCTGACCGCCAGTAAGGCCTGGCGGTCATCCGGGTCGCAGCGGACCATGAGGTCCCCCCCACGGAGCGGCCTGGCGCTGGGACAGCGCCCGACCGCCCCGACGAGGGAATCCTCCACGGCCCAGGGGGAGAGATCGGTCATGGGACTCCCATCCAGGCGACGGAAACGGATGTAGGATTGGGGAGAGAAGGTGGTGGGAGGGGGAGGCATGGTGGAGTGAGGTAGGTGTAGTGTGGTGTTGGAAAGTGGTGTTGCGAGTGTTGTGATGGGTGGGCGTAAGTGGATGTTGTGTGTGTAGTGTTGGCTGTGTGAGTTGTAGCAAAGCAAGTGAAAAATTACGTTAAGTAGGTGAGTCAGGTGAGCGTGGGCGAGGCAGGCGAGCAACTTACGTGAGACGAACGGTCGGCAGAGCACAAAGGCGTCCGCATTTGTGTGCGACTGAACTTCTTACAGCTGGATTTTGGAAATGCCTTGGATGCTCGAGGGTTTCTTTGATTCTGGCTGATTGTTTTTTTTTCATAACCAATACTTTTTTCACAACCAATATACTTTGTTACGTTGTCGTCAGATTGTTGCTGAGATAGTTCCCTGATCTAACTTAATAATGCTTCCACAATCCTACGTGTTCGTCGCGTCTGGATCTTTGACTGTTGAGTCGCTTGACGCTTCTACCCTCGTGGACCTGAGCTGGTCCACACGAGAGAGGAGGTGACCGTTTTTACCGCTGCGAAGGCCATCAATGCGTGCCGTCCGTATGGCGCCGGAGCCGTCAGCGGGTGCCGCTCTCTGACGCGGGGCTGCCTTGGCACAGTTCGGAGCGGCCGCCGCGCACTGTGCAGCTCTCCGATCCGATCTGGGCGCAGGGCGGGCTGAGTAACCGGAATGGCCGGGCGGTGTTTGATCGGCGGTTAGCGCCGGCTGGCTACTGTGCCTCCACCCACCACTAGGTTATTCTCCACCCACTCACCGTCCCTACAGCTAACTAAGCAGTGTTCCACTCGACGTGCTGCGCCCAAGATGTTTTTTTTTTTTTAATTTGTAGGAATGACATTCCTGCTACAATACTTTTGTGTGCTGGTCTTAGCAGGAAGTGTCACTTGAGTTGCCGTCTTATGATGTGTTACAGTACATATCGCTTCTCTCGAGTTTATCCAGCCAACTGGACGCGTCTATATGACCTCTCCTAGAAACATCATTCTGCTACTGACTGTGAGGCTCACCAGAACTCACTCCCACACCAGCTGTGCAGTGTGCACGCTGGAGTGAACTGGAGCAGTGGCGGCTCCTGCTCCCTATCCATCCAGTAGCGGCGGAGCGCCTTCAATTAAGGGGGGGGGGGGAGGGAGGGCACTGCCGACTTTTGGTCCCATTCTTTACATGCAACGCCCATAGGGCTAATGTTAAAATGCCAAAATCAAAGGGGGCACGGTGCCCCGGTGCCCTCCCCGTTCCGCCGCCTATGCAACCATCCTCACTACCCATGCAGAGATCACCACAGCGGGTGGTGCGTCACGCCAGCACGTCACACCGTGACGGTCAGTCGTCACGACTGCACGGATTGTTGTCAAACCCTGCCACCCTGCGTCACCCGTCAGTTTATCTTTTTTTTTTCAATGCCAGCATGGGTGGCCCGATTCCCGCTCTAAATGTTGCCTCTTGTCTGGGACATTTGCATATCATTTGCAGTGTGTTGTGTTTTCTGTCAGCCAAAATTGCCCTGGCGGTACTACGGAGGATGTAATATGGCCAATAATGTCCCATTCGGTGGCCGCCTGTAGCTCTTATGGTCCGGCAATGTGCGGCATGGTGGGCTTCCATCGGGTTTGAATGCTTGTGTCAACTGTAAAACAACGTCCCAGTGGACTGTCGGGGGATGTAATTGTTGTTGTGTTTGAATTTGTTTATTTTTTTACTGTAGCTTTTATTGAGGGCGGGACGTGCTTTTGTTATGAATATTGTCGGTATGGTTTCCATTGTTGAGTGCCATTTTTAGTTGTCAACTTTTACCTGAGCTCATTCAGGGAGTTCGTTCCCTTTCAGAGTTGCTTTTGCCTGTGTTTTGTAAGAAAAACTTATTTAAATAAATGCACCAAGCCATACAGTTAGCAGACGGAAGGAACCGTGAAACATGCAAGCTTCCCATGTCAACAGCAATATTCGCCCCATTTAAAACAAGTCCGACATCCTGATACCATCGACCCATGTCCCTTACTCGCCATTCTCGATAACAGGCGTCCCTCGATTCAGTAACGAGTTCCCAATTCGCCCTGCACCGTGTCCGTTTCCCGCTGCGGGCCTATTTTACCGGCATCGTATACGTTCGGTGAATGTGGCCAGCCGCCTGTGAGGCTAACGGGCACGATATTGGGTCCGGTGGACCGGAGACAGACGGCCGTGTGGTATAACGACCTCAGCCGGTGACAGGATGTCGAAGATGTCACGTTCATTGCGACGGCGATTATGAGTTGACGCTTGGGGCTGCGGACAGCGGACGAACTGCGGACGAACGGACGACTGCGGATGGTCTGCATGGGTCCATAAGGCAGCCTACCGACGGGGGACGGGACGACAGGGGCCACTGGAGGTGACCGCGTGCGGTGAAGCGGCGTCAGTTGAGACAGCCTGTCGACGCTGGCGTGTGCAGCGTGCAGTTGCACTGTGCAGTGTGCACTGTGCAGGCGCTGCAGACGGTTCTGCTGATGACAGCTAACCCCTGGGGAGTGTGACGTACTGTGAGGAGTCCATGGTGCAGCTGTCACCGCCCGGCGCCGGCGGCGCTGGCAGCGGTGGTGAGCGGGGTGCAGTGGCCTGTCCCCCATCTCTGACCCTCCCTCTCCGAAGTCCCTCCTGTCATGTCACGCTGCATTCCTACGTGGAAGCTGTAAATTCTGGACGGCTCTGACGGCTGCAGTGGCGAGACGGCTGCCAGCGGGCGGTAGGACAAGGCAGAGGATGCGGGCCGTGGTACTGGGCTGGTGTAGACAACGGCAGATGAAAGAGACATCTGGTGGCGGTGGATGGAAACGCTAGTTCGGCGCTCTAGAATGCGGAGGGCTGCATTTTCCTCTTCATTGCGGGCAGGGAGAACTTTTATTTTGCTGGTGTTTATGAGACGACATCGATAATCTTTGAACGATGTATCCTTGTCATGCCTTTTTGCCCACAAACGTTTGTACGGCATCGCGTAAGATAACATTTCCAACTCGGAAGTCTGGTGGCAGTTCAAAGGTTTCACCATGCTATTGTATTCGTCTGTCTGTAGGACGAGTGTTACCTGTGCTGATGTTACCTTAATTGAACGTCAATTGTAATTTTACATGGATGATCCTACCTCTCTCCCCGTCCTCGAGCTACCCTCAGAGTGTGGTTGTCTGTTTTCACTCTCTCCCTCTCTACGTTTCCCAGAGCCCCTCTGACAGTCCCTCTCTCTCTCTCTCCCTCTCTACGTTTCCCAGAGCCCCTCTTACAGTCCCCCCCCCTCTCTCTCTCTCTCTCTCTCTCTCTCTCTCTCTCTCTCTCTCTCTCTCTCTCTCTCTCTCTCTCTCCCTCCCCCCCGTAGGCTACCCTCGTTCTGTGTTTGTCTTTGTTCCCCGACTCCCTCTGACAGCTCCTCTCTTCATTCGCAGACTCTCCCTCACCGGTAAACGGCAGCGGCTCTGTGGCGGTACACGGACACACCTCCAGGCCATCGGTGGACGCGCTGCTGGATGAACTGGACTCGGTACCCAGCCAGTGAGTACAGATACTCCCCCCCCCCCCACACACACGCACATACACGTACTACCAGCCCTAAACCTCAATAATACTGTTGCACCTTGTGACCTTACGAAGCCTTACCCAGCCAGCTAGTGTTGTGGTCCGCGCGCTCAATCGCGTGGTTCTTTTTAAAATTGGTTTATGGTAAATCATTGACATTTATCGTTGTTCAAATTTTGTAGTGATACTATGATATTCGTCCCTGCATCTCTGGTCTGGATGCAGTGCTGCCACCTACCGCCTTTAGAAGACATTAACCCGGTTTACATAGCATATTTGACGAGGCTCTAGCTCGTTAATTTGGCGATAATTTTGTTGCAGTGGTCTTCAGATATTTAGAGGGGATCATTTTATAAATTGCTAAGCACCATTGGCATCTTTTGCAACAGCACGGACGGAGATATAAGCTTGCAACAAACCCTATGTAAACGCGTCTATTACGTCCAGGCCAGCAGTCAGCACATGTATGTGCTGCCACCTATGAGCATAGGTGAAAGCTGAGGTTTGGTGATCTCCCGTTCTTGATATCCGAGCTTTGTGATGATCCCGGTCTATCAGTGGACACATAATATATTTCTCCGTTGTTTTCTTTGCGTCTATGCACTATAATATTTTCCTATTCGTCAGTCAGTAGTCACATATCAGTTTGGTATTGTGGCATTGACAGCCTTATTCGTCACTCCTTACCGATAACATGGGCTCAGCTCGTGGTACCGCCTGCCCTGACGTCATGGCTCAGTTTCCTGCAACCGGCCGGTGCAGATCACTGGTTAATTGGTCGCCGTTCCTAGAGCTCGTGTGATTAGCACGAGAGGTGGTCACGGAAGCACCGAAGCGGTGCGCTCCAGCACGCAGGGACTCATTGTTGTTATATTGAATGGGTCGTTCATTTTTTCGAACGCTGATGCATTAAAGGTAATCATCGTGGATAAACTATATCCACTTTAGATGATGTTTGAGCTCGATCGGTTATCCTTCTGCCCTAAGGCATCGCCTACCGTGTGAGCTCAGTATAACCCTTCTTCGCCACTCGGCCCCGCCTTGCCCTCTCCACCCAACCGCCGGCGGCTTGAATATCCCACCCACCCTCTGTTGTACCGGGTTCAACCCTGCACTTAATCCCCCCCCCTCCCCGCCCTCACTGCTGCCCGCATCAGCTCTGCCTGCGGGGTATGATGGCTGCCGGGCACGGAGGGGGAGGGGGCGGCAGGTGGTGGGTAGAAGGGCTGGGGAGTTTATGACCTCGTAGGTGGCCGGTAGGGGTATTCAGGGACGTTCGACTGATGCAGCGTGTGCTGACATGCACTATTTCTCAGTTGTCGATGGTGTTGCTGAGAACGCAGTCGGTTGCCTCGTTTCATTGCGTACTTGTTGCATGGCTTAGCTTCGTCTAAGATGTTAAATGTACGCCCGAAAATGTTCAATTTGCAAATGAGGTGCAGTAGGGGAGAGTGGGGAAAGATGCCCAGGGTTTGACTATGTCATATATTATTCGAAAATGACGATCGGAAAGCCAAAACTTGGAGTTTCAACGGAAGCCGACATCATTTTTCTCCAAAAATATCACACTTTCGTGCATGAAATATGATAACTTTTTTTGCTATTAAGCATTTTCCTGAAGAAGTGAAAGGGGGCATCTTACCCCACAGGGTGGAAAAGACGCCCCCTGGCGTTGGGTAAGATGCCCCCCTGCACTATAAGTGACATAAATAGGCACGTGAATCGCCTGAACGAATCAGTAGTCCCTTCGAGCCTGCAGTAGACACCAAACGTCATCGTAAGGGCCCTCAAAAGTAGTCGTAAGGGGCTTCAGAGGTCATCGTTAGGGCCATCATAGTCCAGCGTGGCCAAACAAGCCTCCGTGGTGGCGTTCGGAGACCACTGTAGGGCCCTTCATGATGCTTGAGGGCCCTCGAGCCCATCGTGGGGACCTCAGATGCCCGCGCGGCCCGTGGAGCCAACGTGGGAGCCCTCAAAGGATGTCGTGAAGGGCCCTGGAACCAATAATGGGGCCCACAGAGGCCGTCGTGAGGGCTCTCAGAGTCAGATGCCGCCCAAAAAGTCGCTGTGTGGGCCGAGAGACCGGCATGGGGAGCACTCGACCGTACCGGACTCTCAATAGTCCCAGATCGGCTTTTGTCTCTCATCACAAGTATGTAATAAATGATTCGACGGGCTGCTTGAAGGACAGCCTACGGATTTAGGGGGGCGTCTTTCCCCATCAGGACAGGGGGCATCTTACCCCAAGGTACCGAAGTAACATTAACTCATCACAATTTGTTAGCCATAAAACTACACCCTGAAACAAACTGTTAGGGACACAGTACACGCATGTTAATGTATCACGACTATGGCAAGGGACGCAAAAATTATCTACCTTCTTTGATATTTACAATGTTTTGACGCCAAAATATTTTTTGAAAGCAGCAAATAAAAAACATGCAGTCACCAGCCAGCCGTTGCCCAACTGAGCTTCGCAAATTTATGTGCAGTTAACAAGGCATGCTTCCGCTTTACGCTAAGAACATTAATTTCCAGGTTCGATTCTTTGTTTCCCCGCTAGAGGGGGTGGGGCGTCTTTCCCACCCTGGGCATCTTACCCCACTCTCCCCTAACAGTGACCGCCGCTGGTTCGCATGTCTTTGCTGAACTTCTGTTCACCTTTCCATGATTACACAATGCCCAGTTGCACTCCCCTCAGTTCCTAAACGATGTGATAGCAGTGTGGCGCCGATCTTCCTTCATTTCCTTTTCAATTATGTCGTGCGGTACCTTTAGTAGTTTTAGACCAGTATTTTTGGTGTAAGGGCGGTAGTCTATTCCGCTCGATCACCACAGGAGTTACAATGTGCATTCCCCTGCCCCGACCCTCTTCACCATTGCGGTGCAAGTGTTTGCATGAGAGCGGCCTTCACTTCTCTCGCACTGCAGTGTCAGTGCGGGGGCGTCCGTCCCTCCCCTCTCGACTACTGCAGTGTCAGTGTGGGGGTGGTGGCGGTGGCAGCTACCGGTTCCGCCGACTCCGGGTGATGTCACCTTCCGCCTGCGACGGGTGTCTGGAACGGACGGTTGGCGGGAGCGAGAGCATGGCGGTCACGGTCGCATTGGGGGGACGCTGAAAGGGGACGGGTGTCACGGTTAGAGGGGGAACTGCCTCGGCGATGGGGGGGGGGGGGGGGCTTGGCGGGATATAGTGAACGGTGGCGAAGCGTTTGGAGGTCGCGTTTACCGTGGTGGGTCAGATTGCAGGGTTAGTGGTCATTGTGGGTCTATGTAGATATAAGGCAGGTCACGATGGGTCAGATCGGGATGGAAAGGGGTGGCGTATTTCAGATATCACAAGAAGGGACACGGTGGAAAGTCATGATTGGACACGATGTAAGGTGAAAGGCGACAAAGGTTCACGGCGGGACATCCTGTAGCGTGACCAGGGTCACGGTGGGGCATCTTGTTAGGTGACCAGGTCACGGTGGGGCATCCCGTAGGGTGACGGGGGTCACGGTGGAACATCTCGGTGGGGTGACCAGGGTCACGATACTGACGCCCACGCCTCCGTGACTCGTGAGGCGCCTCGGTCACGACGGGCGTCCCCAGTGAGCACGATTCGTGAACGGAGATTGGGCGCAGCAGTGGTTGGAGACATGAGAGGCAGAGAACCGGCCGATCTATCTGACAATATGACCACACATGACCTGACCCGATCCCATGCGATCCGACCACACCTGACCTGAAACCGACCTGATCTGACCAGGCCTAGCCTGATCGGTCAAAGAGGCCTGCAGCTGGCTCGCACTTTGTCGCTACGTTGTACAGTGGAACGGTTGAACTCCTCCTGCGTGGGTATACGATCACGTTCGTCGGCCGCTCATGTAGATTGCATATGCTGCATTCGCTTACGGCATACAGTTCCACGGCTGCACGAGTCCTCGGCGATTTGACTCGCTCGAGCGCCGCCCAGGAGAACGTACCGCACTAGCAGTTTACATTATTTCACATCCCATCTCTTCACTTCACTTTGCGGCTTCATTGAAGTACGTCAACGGTTGACGCACAGGAACTGACGCAGAGACTCGTGTTTAAACCGAGAGGCTAACGTTACGGTCCTTGTCAGAATGTTTGACATTCTTTGCTAGTGATTGATGGCTGGGGAAATGGAAATGTGCAGCGAACTCAGCGGGCTGATTTCCAAGTCTGCCAAAGGGAGGTGGAGCTAGCGCTTGGCCATGCATACGGCATTCGCCGGCCACGCTAGGACAAGTGACTTCCAGCCTAAGGTTGAGCTAGTCACATAGCCTCGCGTGTATTTTCTGGCCGCTTCGCCGGTACGTTTGATGTGCCTCCCGGAGCTTAGACGAAAAATGTTGGTTGATGTCGAGTGTTCCGTACTGCTGACAAGGTGACACCAGTAAATGACGCCTGATGGATAGTGAGTGGTAGGTGTGAGATGGATGTGCTTACTTTGGACCTCGGCGCAGAGTTGGATTTAGACCAGACAGCTCCTGCTTGAACTGAGCAGGATGAGGTGTTGTCGGTGTGAGGTCCGGTCGTATTGACCAGTGGGGACTGGGTGGGTCCGTCTGACTCATAGCCTCAAACTCCGAGTCTGGATCATCACACGACTGCAGCGAGCAGAAGCCTGTCCGGGCCGACTCTCTGGAGCCCCGAAATCGACCTGGACGGGTCGATTGGCCACCCCGGGGCGTGGTCTCTCCCCTGGGAGACCGCCCTCACGCACTGCGCCGCGGGCTCGCGACTCTCCTCCCCACCCCTCCGCCGCCCTGTTGGTCGCACCTTCCCACTCTGCATTCCTGCCATTGCATTGCGGCGTCCACCGTCACCGCGTCCCTCGCCGGCCTGCATGACGGCCGGTTTCCGCCCCCCCCCCCCTCCATGGCGTCGGATGACGTCAGGCGGCGGCGCGGCGGCGGCGGCCCGCCTCTCCGGGTCTCTCTCGGCCGCCGAGCGCCGGGTGCGGC